TGATAAATAAATAAGAATAATCAAAAATATAATAATAATAAAAATTAAAATTAAATCAAATCAAAATAATCAAAACAAGAAAACAAGAAATGAAAATATGAATCAAATGAAAATAATTAAAATAAAAAATAAGAAATAAAGAAATAATAAGAATAAAGAAGAATAATAAGAAAGAAAAGAAATATAAATAATATTAATAATAAATTAAATTAAAATAATAAATGAAAAATATAATAATAATAATAAATAATAAAAATATGAAAGAATAAAGATAATAATAATATAAAATGATGATATTAAAGAAATTATTAAAATATAAAATAAAGATAAAAGAAATCAATGAAATATAGAATAAATTCATTTTAATCTAAATCATTTAAATAATTAAATAATAAAATTATTTTATAATATTGAAATATTTCATAAATAAAATAAAAATGAACAAATAAAAGAATAGAGAAAAATAAATAAAAGAATGATAAATAATAAAATAAAATAATCAATATATTAAAAAGAAAAAGAAAAAATTATATATATAAATAAAAATTATAAAAATAAAAATGAATAAAATAAATTGCATAAATAAAATAAAGTTAAATAAATTGCATCAATAAATTAAACAGTTTTTATTTCATATTTCTAATTTCTGTAATAAAAAATGTATCATTTATTTCATCATTATTTTCATCATTTATTATCTCATTTTGAATTATTCCTTTTTATCTTCTTTCATTTTATATTTTCTACTTTCTAATTTTATTCTTTTCATCTTCTTCTACTTCCTAATTTCACTTTTTTCTTTTATATCATTCTTTCTCTTCCTTTTTCTCTTATTTCCTTTTTTTCGTTGCCTTTTTGTGGTATCTCTGACATGCTATCTTCGAATCATAAAGAAGAATATAATAATAAAATATGATAATCATTCTTATTCTTATTATTTATTATATTTGATTTTATATTTTATATTGATTTTTATCTTTGACTATCATCATCCATTTCTTCTTTTTGTCTATTTTTTCTTTTCTGAACATCATTCATTTCTTATTTTTATTCTTTATTATTCTTATTTTATATTAGATGATCTTGTATCATTTTATATTTGTTTATATTGTTTGTTTATATTTTATTATTATTATTTATTGTTGTTTATCTTATATCATTTATTTATTATATGTTGTATTGATATTTATCATTGTTAATATGAAATGAATAATAATGAATAAATATAAAATAAGAATAAAAAGATATAAGAATATAACATAAATAATAAAATAAGAAATATATAATAGATATAAAGATAAAAGAAGAAGAATAAAATAAATAAATATAAAATAATATAAATAAAATAAAAATAAATAAAAAAGAATAAAATAAATATTTTATTATATTTTTATTTATCTTTTATTCTTATTTCTTTTTATTATTTATTAAATTAACACAATAAATATAAATATTTCAAATGAAATAAAATAAAACAAGAAAGAAATATGAACATTTTTATATTCACCATTTCATTAATTGATAGATGAAATGTTTATATTCATTTATTGATTTTATTTTATATTCTTTTTTATTTTTTTAGTTTTCAAATAAATAATAACGAATAAAAATCATTTCATTTCAATTACAATAATTCGTTGTGGTGTGAAATATTCTTTCCAACAAAGTGTATTTGATATTCCTTTATATTCATATGAAGATTGTTTACAATATGATTTTGTTTTATAATTTTCTTTATAAACACTAATATCATCATATCCAAATCCAAACAAAAAATCATTTGATTGATCACATAAAATAAATGCAAATTGTGGTTCTTTAATATCAAATTTCTTCATTCCTTTTATTCTTCCATTTGATTTTAATGAAAATAAAAATGATTTTGGATCATTTATTATTTTACTAACTTTATCAATTTTCACATTAATATATCCTCCAAATTTATTTCCATTTGTATCTTCAATAATAATTATTATATCTTCTCTATTCATTATTCTTTGATTAAATACTGATGTATTCTTATTCCAATTATCAATATCTGAATCAAATATTATATTCGATACTTTTCTATTTGTCCATTCTTCTATTTGTTTCATTTCTTCAATTGTATTCATTCCTTTCATTATTCTTAATCTTTCTCCTTCTTGTTTCTTTATTTCTTCTTCTTGTTTTCTTCTTCTCTCTTCTTCCTCTTTTATCTTCTTTTCTTCTTCTTTTTTCTTTCTTTCTTCTTCTTCTTCTTTTTTCTTCTTCCTCTCAAAATAATCACTATAATATGTTTCCCATTCTTTTTTCTTTTTATTAAAGGATTGGGTGATTTTGTCTTTTTCTTCTGGTGTTCTGAATATTTTATCTTTCATGTTCATTTCTTCAATTGAAATGATTTTATCGATTATTTCATTCCGTGTTTTACTTAGTATTTCTTCATCATTATTACTTTCTTCTATTATTTTCTTCATTTGGTTCTTTATTATTTCAACTACTTTAATTGTTTCTTGACTTTTTTCTATTATTATTTTTCTTCTTCTTTCTGTTTCATCAATCCTATCAAATATTCCTTCTCCCCTTTTAATAGCTTGTTCATATGTCTCATTGTCTTGAATTTCAAATATTTCATTTTTAATACTTCCTAAATAATATTGATATTGTTTATTAATATCATCAATTGATTGTTGAATATTTGGAAGTGTTTCTATTTCTTCTTTAAAGAAATGAGTGTTCTTGTTTATTAACTCTTCCATTTTAATTTAATGTATTTAAGATTAAAATCAGATGATTAAATACTTAAATACACGTTTATAACACTTCATTATTTATTATTTTATTATTTTAATAAACATCATTTCATTTTTATTATTTTAATTAAATGTTATTTATTTTTTATTATTTTAAATAACATTATGATTCGAAAATAGCATATCAGAGACACAACACAGAACTCTAAAATATTATCATCATTTAAATCAACCAGTTATGGAATAGTTATGATATTGTATTTGGTTAGAAAAACATCTTAATTAATACTTCAAGAATAACAATGTTTATTAATTACAATAATAGATATCATTGATAATAAAAGAATAGGTATTTATAAAGATGATATTATTACTTAATATGATACAAATATATTTGACAGTATAAGATTAATAAAGAAAAATGGTCTAGTGGTTGATACTAAAAAGAATATTAGCCAATAGCAATACAGTAATAATTATATATTCTCTTTAAAATAATAAAATAAAGAAGAAATTTAAACGCATCAAAATCAAAAATAAATTAAATAATGAATATTTAAATAATGGATATTTAAAATATTTTATTCCTCAATAAATAAATGAGAAAATGAAATTATCACAATTCAACAACTAAAATCAAAGAATGAACTAATAAGTGATGAATAAACACTTCTAAATCAAAGGGATTAATTAATCTCCACTGAACAATGAACAATAGAAGATATTTTTATTAATGCTTAATTCTTTACTTTTTATTGAGGTCCTTTTATTCATTTCTTTGTTTTGACTATTGTCTTTATTTCCTATTCATTTCTTTTGTTTTTCTTTAATTAACTCTTTAACTTTCTCTACATTCAATTTATTTTGGATTGAATATATTTCCTGTTCTTCTTATCATTTTCTTTTCTTATCTTTTTTTATTTCTTCAAATTCTTTGTATTGAAAAAAACTGTTTTATAACTCAGTTTTAATGAAAAGTAGTATAAAAAAAGCGGAATATTTTTTCTCTATTCATTAAATTTTAATAAAAATCTTAATTAAATTATTAAAAATAAAAAATTTCAATTAAATTTAGGCTTGTGGATATCTAGCATGATAAGTTGTATGAAGATATTCATGTTGCTCGTGACTATCAAAGTGTGAGTCAATCCATGCAAGAACATCAGTATTTTCACAAGCTGCCTTAATATCAGTATTATCATCAAGTCTATCAAGTTCAGCAGTTCTTTTAACAAAATCAGCTTTCTTAGCAGGTGGAATTTTTGGTTGTCCAGCTCCACATTGACATCCATTAACACATGCCATCATTTCAACTACATCACATTTAAGTTCTCCAGCTCTCATCATATCACATGCCTTAGTAATAGCATGTCCTCCATGACAAATTACTCCAACAATTGGAGTACCTGCAATATCAATTGTTAATTTAGTCATAGCAGAACCTGAAGCATTATCTTTAAACATAACTTCAGCTTGAATTTTAGATGGGTCCCATTGAAGTCCAGCTTGTTTAACCAATACTCTTAAGACTGTTTCAGCAACACCAGCAGTCTTTGCAAAAATATTTGTTCCTCCAGAAATTCTTCTGAATGGTAAATCACATTGTCCATCTTCAGTTTTAGAAAGAGTGTCTTCTCTTTCTTGAGTAAACTTACATTCTTCAGCTGGAAGATGTGCTTTGAAGTATGTAGCAATTTCATTGGTAGTTAAAGCAGCATCATAGTCTTGATGAAGATTAGGTCTTTGTGATTCTACCTTTTTAGCAATACATGGCATAATTCCAACTGTGTAAATGTCTTCTTTTGGAATTTTCATGTCTTTACACCATGCATTCTTAATACATCCAGCAAGACAAGCAATTGGTGATCTGGCAGTAGAAACTCTTGGAATTAAGTCTGGATATTTCTTTTCTAAATATTCTAACCATCCTGGGCAACATGAAGTAATAGCAGGTCCTTTTCCTTCTTTCTTCATTTCAACAACTTCAGCAAGATCGTCCATTGTAGTTTTATCTGCAGCTGAATTAATATCAAAGACATAATCAAATCCAACAAGTCTTAAACAATGAACTAATTGTGCCATAGCAGATGTTCCAATTGGAAGTCCCATAGCTTCAGCAATACCAACACGAGTAGCTGGTGCAATCATTGCAACAAGTTTCTTTCCAGCTTTCTTTGCTTCAAACACTCTTTCAATATGGCTGACTGGTTTAATAGCACCAAAGTTACAGGCACTTGAACATTGTCCACATCCAACACAATCTGATTCATCAATAAGAACACGTGTTTTATCGTCATTTGGTTGAGTAACATTCTCTCTATTTGGAGTAACTGTTGGTGGAATTTTTGGACCAGATTTATGTAATACTCCATAATTACATCTCATAGCACACATACCACATCCCATGCATTTAGACCAATCTATTTCAATAGCATTATTATGATCTTGACCAGTAATAGTATGTGATGGCTTAGGTGGCATTTAATTTAATTTGAATTAAAAAGAGTATGCCCTGGACTTTTAAATCCTTTTTTCTAATTTATAAAAGATTTAATTGGAATGTGATGGAAGATTCTTACCCTTTATTTTTCTTTTTTTAAGTATCTTTCACTTGTTATTCATCCTTTTTTATAAAAAATATGATTTTTTCTTTTATTTTTTTTTAATGTTAAAATAATTTTACTTAATTTTTATTTAATAAAAGAGAATTTCAGTTTTCATTTGTAATAATTGATTTTTAATTGAATTTTTTTAATAAATGTGTAAAAAGGGTTTAAAACTTTTTTAACTTTTTAATAACACAAATTGATATAAATGATATATATAACAAAATTATATATATACAATAAATGTTATTTACTTTAACTTTTTTTTCAACCACTTTAATCCTTCTTTAAGACCTGTTCCATTATAAGCATCACAATCCAAAACAAATACACGATCTTTAGGAAGGTCGTTAAGTTCATTAGAATGACCACGATTTACCCAAACAAGGATTGGATAAGAACGAATAGTTGGATCATTAATAATTCCCCATAAAAGATTTTTTGATTCTTGAAACCTTTCAGTATCTTTGGCATTGATAACATATGCAACAGCAATAACATTAGTATAATATGACTTCCAAAGACTACGAAATTTAGCTTGACCACAAACATCCCAAAAAACCCACTTAATTCCATTTGATTTAAAAGAGGGAGAATTATAACCCAAAGTTGGTTTTGGTGGAAAAATTTTAGGATCAAGGCCACTTAAAGTTAATGTAATAGAGGTTTTTCCAGCACCATCAATTCCACATAAAAGTACATTAATATGTTTAGTACGAAAAAAATCAAGTAACGACATAATGTTTATTTAAGTTTATTTATTTTATTTCCATTCTTTTTAAGTTCTTTTTAATGATATACTGACTTATATAAAATCCTTCTATTTTAAATCCCAAAAATAATATTTAAGACAAACTAGTTTTACTATTTATTTATTTTCTTTGTTTTCTTTATTTTCTTGTTTTTGTTATATTTCCATGTGATTTCCTTAAGTTTTTTCATAGTTTTTTTGTTTGAATTATAAAAAGAATAAATTAAAAATAAAGTCTTACAACCTATAATAATCAACAGAAAAATTATTATGTAAAAATATTAACTTTTAATGAAAAGAATATTATTTTAATGATTTAAGAATTCCTCCATATTTTTATAAACTGGTAATGTTTTGGGAAGGAATTTTTTATGTGAATTTCTCTTATGAATCTTTTGAACAATCTCACTCCATTCATTAAATTGTTTCAATGAAGTTTCATCTAATGCACTGATAAATGATTTTTTATCTGTTTCATTCATCATTAAATATTCTGTATACAATTCAATAAATTGGTAACTACATCCTATTTCATCTTCATCAGTTTGTCCTGACCATAAATCTGCTGATGGAACTGCACCAAGAATAATATCTGGAAGTTTAAGTTCAGCACCAACTCGATAAACTTCTGCTTTATGAAGATCAGAAATAAGACTTAAATCAACAACTCCATCACCAGCTTTACAATAATAAAGAATATATCCATCTTCATCAAAATTGCCTGTTCCCATAACAACAGAAGGAATTCCATTAGCACTCATTAATTGTGATACATAATAAGCAGTTGGAGTTCTCATATAACTTCTTAATTGTCCATCAGAAAAAGCATTTCCTTTTAATCCGACTGAACTTTCGACAAGTGAATGAAGATTATCAAATATTGTAGTTTGATCAATTGTCTTAATTTCAATTCCAAGATGTTCACATACAATAAATGCTTTATTTTGAATTGACGCTGTAGAGTGAATTGGTTGTGCTAAACAAAGGATTTTTTGAATTGGAGAATTAGGCATTTTTTGTGCATGAACACATAATGCTGCAGTAACTGAAGAGTCAATTCCACCTGAGCAATTTAATACAATTCCTTTTAATCCACATTCTTTAAAATAATTATTTAACATAGTACATTTCTTTTCTATCCATTCTGCTGGGTTAAATGCACGTTTAGCTCGAATTTTATCTAATTGTACTTTAAGTCCTTGAGGTAAAGGAAATTTAGTTACGTCCATATTAAATAATTAATCTTAGTTTTAACTTTTTAATAATTAAAAAAAAAAAAGAAGAAATAATATAACTGATCTGGTTCCACGTATATTCTTCTTTATTTTTTAAAAAGAGTGCTATTTGAAAAAGTATTATTATTTCAGGAAAGTTTTTCAGATAAAAAACTAATAATCATTTTGGTGTAACAATAAAAAACAAATTTATAATATAAAATAATGTTATAGATAAAAAATAATAGTTCTTCAAACCAAAAGGGAAATAACTTTTAATGTCATCATTTTTTTGACAAACATTTTTAATCACAAAAGAGATAAAAATAACTATAAAAAATAATTAAATACTATTGTTTCTTTTTTATTATGTTAGACAATAAAAAGGTTATGGCATTGATTTAAACATACAAAAATATCTTAACAGAACTATGAAAAAGTATTTATAGTTTTAGTTTCTTTCTTTAAATCTAGAGAACAATATGATACGAAGACTTTCAAGAACATTTTCCACCACAGGAATTTATTATATTCAAGGAAATAGTCTTGATGAAATATATTATAAAGCAATAAAAATGAATGATAATACAAATAGTTCTGAAATTAATATATATACATTCACTGAACAAATGAAAAATAAAAATATTGTTATATTTGATAAAATGCCATTAATACGATACAACAAAATTGAACAGGTAAAATGGGCTGTACATAAATTAGATATAAAAAAAAGAACAATTTTTAAAGAATTAGTGAGGTATATCAATAACTTTAAATTACCAGAATCTATATTTGATGATATTTTAGTCTCTAAACCTGATAGTAACAGTAGAGGGTTATTAAGGTGTGTATTAAAAAATTTTGAATTATTTGAAAATGAAGGAAAGTTTTATCCTCACTTTAATGATTCAGGAATGATTATTGCTATTCCTCCTTTAATTGCTTTTCAATGTTTATTTAGTAAATCATTAGTTAGTCATGAACTTACTCTATCAATCTTATTTACTATCAGAGAAGTTATTTCTGATAAAGATTTAATAACAATATTAAATAGTGAATTAGAAAATAATGTCAATGAAAATATCCCTTTTATCAAAGACAGTATATATCAAATTGCTAATTATTGGCTTGAAATATATTCAAAAGTAATGGAAAGTGATGACCTTCAAAATCTTAGGAACTTCTGTAAGTGTTCTTCTTCTCATTATAGTTTATTTAGCACAGAATTTAAAAAAAAAATTGATAAAGAAAAGGCTCATGAGTCATCAACTAATACCTCATTAAAAAGTCCTGTAAGACGATCTAAAACTTCTAAAAAAAAAATATCTCGTTCTGAGTCTGTTTCAGATATGACAAGTACTAATGAATCACAAGTTGATATTGACATAAAAAAAGATACAAAGACTACTGTTGATGGTAAACCAAAATTAACTGAAAGGTTATCATTTACTAGTCTTAGTACTGTTGATCAACAATCAGAACCATTCATTGCATCAAGTAAAAGTCCAATACAATCTCCAAATCCAGATTTAGAATTAATAGGTACTGAAGTAGGACCAGATGGCATATTTAAGTATAATGAAACTGAAACTAAAACTGATGTAACAACTGAAACATTTTCTTTAACAGAAAGTCAGAAACAACCGAAGGTAAGAACTGATTTTTATAGATTTATAGATATTAAAACATCAAAAATTGCAGAACAATTTTTTGTTTATGACTTAAAATTAATCAAAGAATTGACGATTGGAGAAATTATTCTTCAGACAGAATCATTTAAAACTTACTTATCAAGGATAAGTGCAATTGATGCAATGGTAAATTCTTTCATTGATAAAGAGAAAAGCCCAAGTGTTTTCTCATATTTTATCAGTGTTGCCAAAAGTTGTTTAACAATTGGTGAATATAATATTTCTTATATTATTTCGTGCACTTTAAAAAATAAAAGCACTACTTACAAACAAGCTTTTGAAGCAGTTAAAGGTTCATATATTTCAGACTTTAAATATCTTGAAGAAACGTTTCCACTTCTTAATCTTCTTCATCTTATCTTACTAGTTTTGAAAATGTAAACGTACTA